ACAAGGCGAGTAGTTTTAGTTTTTCCTGGGGGTTGAAGCCGGTTGTAGACTCACATAAGTATGCGACATAATCGGGTTTGTCCGGGGTCGACGGACGTCGAATCAGACTTAAGTTAAGTCCTATGAGAAGACCGGTGGCAGGTAACAGAGCACATCGTCGGTAAAAGTTCGACGGACGGCGAACACACTTAGGTCGGAACAGTTTGGAGAGGATCTACGCATAAAGTGACACAGGTTCGGTAACATCTTAAACTGAAGACATGTTCTGACGTAGTCTTACCTACATACCCGGACGGGTCTCGGACGGCCACATTGCGAAACATCCAAACGCGCTGGTACGTCCCTAGACTTAAGCAACATCCAGTGAAACACGTGTCATACAACGAAAGAACTGCTTGTATGTAGTTCACGACCGGAGGTAGCAAACTGGACATACGACACAAACTGTACAGATGCGGAGGCGTACGACGTGTATGCCAGACAAAGGATTCGACGTCCCTCGCAGGAGTCCGTGAGGTAGGGGGTAGTTCAGATCGTAAATTTCCTGGGCTCGTGTCACAAGGAAATTTTTAAAGGTCATTCTGGTAACCGGGACGACTTCAAAGTCCACTCGACGTACCTACGTAAGAAGTTCCCGGTAGCGTCGACTGAGTATTGACGGGGACGCTTGACTCGCCTACGGGGCTCCCGATGCGATGTCGGGTCGGACCACCCTGCTCTGACCGCCAAGTTACTCACTTTCAATTGGTACGAGACTCCACAAATGCTATAGACTTGAGTTGACTTGAACGGTCTAAATAATTTTCGGTGGGGTTAAGTACCTGTTGGTACGTAGAATGATCACTCCCGACGTGTCCGTCGGACGCATTAATCCAAGTGCCGTCACCTGTCATGTTAGCTGTACGCTCCCACCAAGAGGTTTACTGACACAGAGAGCGTTAGCAGGTCGGTACAAACGCCGGTAAGATTCAAAAAGGAGCCTCCACTCTGTCTCTTCGACATCTCCGCGCAGTAGTGAGTGTACGGTAGAACATTAAACGGGAACAACTCTGTCGACATCTAGGGCTTGTCTCGCGTGTATACTGAGGACGATTTTTTTGGGGGAGCGACTAATGACCCCGGTAGTTACTATTAACGCTGACATTACCTCGGTTAATACAGAAGTTGTGAAGAGGACTTATCTCATAGATAACATGCCAAACCTACTGAAACTGTAACTATTAAACCCGTTCAGGTCAGAGGAAGGAAGCATGGAGTAAAGCGTGCGGACCGACGAGGAGAGAGTAACAGTTGATGAGAGGGACGACTACCATAATAGACTAGTTATGTATACTCCTACTAGAGTAGAAATAATTTGTAATTGTAATCTAAGATACACCAGTAATAGACAGATAGTAGCTTATATCCGAGAGAATACAGTTTGAAATAAGAAACCAGAGAGCGATGAGTGATTAGCGGCAAATAAGTGTTCGCGAATCGAGCACACAATTAATTAAACTGGGCACGAGAGAGAGAATGAGAGATGACGTTACACTCGTCGAGCGCGACACAGGAGTCGCTGGTACAGCGCACGTTGGTAGCGTGCCTGGGGTGTTGAGCCTCTGCGTTCTACAGTTCAAACACCATCTTAGCTCTCAAGTGCCATACACTCGACATGCTCGGAGCATTCTCACTACTCTAAGCTCTCCTTGTCCTCAGGACGCAGCGACACTCATCTTTCGTTGCATCAACGGGTAGAAGATCGCCATGTTGACCAACAAGTGATTACTGCATCATAGTCCGAGCGTCCAAACAGAATCAACGTCATAGTTTGTAAACTAGCTGTGTGTTACGACAAGTTCCTATCTTACATATCTTGCTCTTCATATTATAAGACAAATACAAGACACTAGTATGACTATGACTCTCAATCTATCTATCTAAACCCTACAATGTTGAGGACAGACACATTAACAGATTTGTTGTAGTCTTTCGTGTTGCTGATGGTACGTGAGCACTGTTATCGTCTCACTAGAGATCGTTATAATTTGGAGAATCGCATCATGATGTCCATGATCCGGTGATGCACTTCGAGCGACGTCGACCTGCGATATGTCACGGGCCGCGTGTTACCCGTCTACGTCCCCTTCCGATAACAGGCCACGGAGAGAGCTCCGTGGTGCCGTCCATGTCCGTGCCACGTGTGACCGAAGGTGATGAGATACATCTTCACGCATGTAGAGTTTGACATTTGCGTCAGATACACCTCAGCCCTGAACTTCTCGTGGCTCTGCGCGATGCGCGACTTGCTCAATGCTCAGGTTCGTGGATCGCACACACGTATCTGGTATAACTCAGTGGATTTGAAACGAGGAGGTGCAGCGAACCGCTAAACATGAAGAACGGATCGTCAGTCTTTTTTAGTTAGGAGCGCGCTCCGCTCCGGTACTGGGCGGGCCACCGCGCAAAGGGGGTATGGCTCACGTCCACTACCAAAGGTGGTGGACGGCCTGTGAGGGACAATAGGTTCACAGCTAAGGCGGCTGTAACTCCTACAGGATCGGGAGGTACACAATCGAAGGTACACAGTTCAGTCCGTTCTACTTGCATGTGCTATCATGCAGTATGAGAGCGTTAGATGTACTAATTAGAGGAACATAATAGAATGACATGCTAAAGACGGAGACTAAGATTATACGACGACTAATGTAAAACAAGCATTCCGTCGAGTATCGTATCACGACGATATCATTCGACTACCTGACGACCGATCTGGCAACATAATATCTAGTTACTATACAGCCGATTCGTCACTGTATTATCGTTTCTCCGTAAACACAATTCAAACTATAGAAGCGAGGCCGCTCGTGCTACGGGCTGGCGTAATTCCCCACTATGTGTGACAGTCTATGTTAGGAGCCTGGTCGAAACGGGGGTCAGGCAGCGCGAAGAAGAGCACACACTGAGACAGAGTAGATGTCGCGCAGACGTCACATTGTAGTCTCCTCTGACCCGGTTAACATGTAAGAGTTTGACGGTGGGTGAATCTTGAGTTATTTGTTAACGTCGTGCTTAATAAAATATATTAACATAAGTTATTGCATTCTTTAATATTGTCATACTCTCACTAACATTTATCTTATGTCTAAACTGAATTAAAGTATCTTTATATAAAAAGGGTAGAACAGTACACCCTGAACAAATGGGAGAGTTTCTTGGCCGTTAGCTCTTGGCCTTTTATTGACCTTAGCTTATTCGTCTTGGCCTTCAATTTTAGGATTTGCTATGGGCTTGGTGATTATCCAAAGCCTGCACAAACAGAGCAATGAGAGTTAAAAAGACTGCTGATGCGAGTCGTGGCTGTAAACAAAAAGGGCAATAAAGTGTTCCTGTTTCTACTGAAATTGCGTGGCACAGACCTTTCTATGGAAATGCTTTAATGTGATTATGGTTATAGTTGTACTTTATTCATCCCTAATCTCTGCCATTACAAACAACAAAACAAGAAAAGCTAAACTAGATAAAATAGGGCGATGTAATACAATGGACAATTAGACATTATGGTAAAACATTTTAACCAGTTAAGCCCCAAGCCTGTTTTTCAGGTCTCAGGTTTGAAAATGACATTCCCAGAACAATTGACTATATCTTCACTTCTAAAAATGGTTAAATGAATAATCTTTTTTCTCAAAGCAATGATAAACCTGTGAGTTGGATGTAGAAAAAGTCAGAATAAATATAGATGTTTTTAAAGTAAATTCAGATTGAACATAGTAAAAAAATGTAGATGATAGTGTCCGTGCAAAAAATAAACCATTACTTATTGTGAAAACCACTCTTGAATGATGGGATAGTAAAACTATAATCCAAACTATAACATATAATAAGTACCCTGTATCAAGATTGATGCAAAACAAGTATTTCCAAGGCACACCTTTATACAGTATGTTCATTATAGTTATACAAAATAAGAGAATAACAGAATAAAGGGTATGAAATCATTCCAACTCATACTACAGTTTAAAAAGGGAGTGATTTGTAAAATATGCATAAAGAAAAAGTAAATCTGTTCAGTTCTGTTTCACATGGGTGTTGATGAGATGTATCCATACATTTAGTCCCTAATGTTGCTCTCAAAGTGCACCAGATTGATGCTTTTAACTTCAACATTTAAAAAAAAATCTTCCCAGGGGAGCATGCCCCCGGACCCCCCTAGAGGAGGAGGTTAGGTCTCCCGCCCGCCCACACCACCTGTCAAATTGTCCCACCCACATTGAGGATGCTTCCTACACCCATGCCTGAGACACAGTTTTGTGACTATTGTTGTGTTTTGCCCCCACGGGCAGGGGCATGGGGTTTAACAGGTTTTAAAGTATCCAATGTGTTAGTGATTTTTTATGTATTTTCCTTTAGAATGGCAGGAAATTAGTATTCCAATTTGTATTGCATTTTTGGTCCCCCCCAATGTTGACTCCATGAATACGGCCCTGATATGTGGGTATTATGTGGATGTTGTATAATGTAAGTGGCTGTCTTTCTCGTGTTTTTTTATCTGGGCCAAGCAACATAGCATTAAGCTAATAAGACACACATCACATATTTACTCTTGCTCCACTTTGAGGTATGTGGTTTTGAGTGAAATGCCTCCATTATTATGGATGGATTTATAATTTGCTTTATGACCAAATATACTCCTGCACCATCAGTCTCAGCTTTAGTTTTTGTTTACCACTAATTAGCAATTGTGAGCATGCTAACATACTAAACTAAGATGGAAAACATGGTAAACATTGTATAGCACACAGCTCAACACAGTACATTCTCACAAATGTGTTTTTCTACTCTAATGTCCCAGTTGTCCCACGCTTAGCTGAACATCATGTTTTCACTTTAGTAGTTAAAACTGAAATTGCTGAAAGTACGCAGAAATTATTATTCTTATCTGTCTCTCCATGTCTCAGGTTAAACCGGCATTATGACTGAATTAGAAGTCTCTGAAGGGGGGGATGAGCCCCCGCCCTACATGATCTTTGTGGTGGTCTTCCTCTTCTTCCTCACCGGACTGTTTGGCTTCCTTGTCTGCCACCTCCTGAAGAAGAAGGGCTACCGCTGCCGCACCGGAGAATTGGATGACGAAGAGGGGGAGGAGGAGAAGATCGGCATAAATGCAGACGGTGGGTTGAGAATAGACATGGAACCTCTAAATAAGTCCAAACACTAATACACGTGCTCTGTGAATGGACAGAATGGAAGGGCTCAGACCAAGCCAACTTTCTAATGCACAGGACTGAGCAACGGCCTGGTGGTAACATCAAGAAAAAAACATGAATCTGACTCATCTCCGTCAGTGGCAGTAATGTAACAAATCCCACAAACTAAAGTGCAAACAAACATACTATTGCTCTATCTCAAATCCTTGTTGTGAGATTGCTGGTACACTTCCTGCAGCATTGATAGACGAACTGAAAGAACTTCAACTCAGTCTTGGCCCTTTTCACACTACTGCAAGTAGTTCATTTGATATGTTCTGCAATATTTAAAAGTGTATCCTTTTCCTTGTTCTGCTGTGTTTCAGAAGATGATGAGGAGAACCAGGACACTGTGGAGCAGATCCTCAAATGCATTATTGAAAATGAAGGTGACTAGAGAACTTCAGTATAGTATTTTGAATTCATTTCTGTTAAAGTTCCAAATAATCTGTCAGGATTCTCATGTTATGTCACGGTTGTAGTTTTGTATGTCTGGTTATGGGTGTTTTCCTCCTTGTATATTGTCTGGTCCCTGTCGTTAGTTTCCTTGGTGTGTCTAATTGTCTGATTGTGTTCACCTGTCACCCTTGTGTTTCTCCTCCCCTGCCCGGCTGTTTCTCGTCTTGTGATTACCCCTCCCTGTATTTAGTCTTGGCTCTTCCTGTGTTCAGTGTTGGTTCGTCTTTTGTTTGTGAATGAGTTCACCGGTGAGTGTTCTGTTTTTTGTCCAAGTTATTTTCTTCTTATCCTTAAAATAAAGGTTAATCAGAGTTATCTACATTTGGGTCCTGCTTGCTTCACTCACCGTAACAGAATCAACATAAATCTTTCCTTTAGTCCTTTATCCTTCTCCTTTTACTGTGTTCTATTTTGCTCTTTTTTTCCCCTGCCGTAAAACCTTCAATGCATCATGTATTTATTCTACAATATAATTCCATTCAGATAAAAAAGGTTTCCATTAGCAAATCTTTCTAACCGTAAGTACCACCCTCATATGTATTTTCCTTTTGTCACCTCTAGCTAACATGGAAGCCTTCAATGAGATGTTTGGAAACCAGAATGTGTGTGTGCGCCACGACCCCAGGTAAGCTGGTCCATCAGTCTGTAGTAGTGTGACATATTTACTGTTTACTGCATGTCAGAGGGACATTTTTATTTTTTTATTTAGCTCCTCAAATTCTGGAATCCCCTAAATTAATGTAAACATTGTCTTTTTTTTGTAAAGACTCATAATGTCACTGATTTCCCTGTAAGTAGTAAGTAAAGCATTTGAAGTACTTTTAACATTGCCAAAGTGTTATTCTCAATGGGACCAAACAACACCCAAATGTTGGCTTACATTCAACCAGGAGGAGTTTGGTTCTAGCTTTAGACACACATCCAAAACAATACTCAACAATATACTCATACCACTATACTAGTAACAATTTCATGATAAAAATGACCAATGACTCGTGAACTGTTAGGGCCGGTGTTATGCATGCCCACTGCACCTCGCGGGAGCGCGCCACAGCGTAAAGCATAAACTCCCAGACATTTCATTGATTTGTACGGCTAAGTTAGGTCTGGAAACGATATAACGGCATAACACCGGAGCCCTGCTGCGGGGAAACTTTGGCGCTGTTCTGAGTTTGTTCTAATCCGTCAAAATGACGGACTGCTTTCAGATTTTTTTTTACCTCTGCTTATATCTCATATTACTGATCTAATGATTTTTTTATGCTCAGGCTGCGTAAGGAGTCCCTTGGTGGTGTTCCTCCCCATCACCACACAGTCCACTCAGGCACCGGCCACAACTCCTGCCACCTGTGTGCTCAGGTCCGATCTAAAAAGGGCCGGCGACAAAGCCGAACCCCCCGTATTAAACAACGACCTGGAGAGCAGACTGTCTTCTCTGTTGGAAGGTAACAATTAAACTACTTTGTAATTAGTGCATGTTGGGAAGGGGTAGCAAAACTCATAATCCTGAATGTATCATCTATTCAGGTTCAGGGTGATACACACTGATAAGAAGCTCCATGGAGGCCCTAATCCTTTGGGCAGTTCAGGGGACCAGCTGGACCAATCCCAGGACAGCGAGGAGCGGAAGGAGGGTGTTTACAATCTGAGAAGCATGTTCGACGGCTCCAACGGGGTGGCTCCGAATGTGGGGAAACGCAAGAAGAGTGTTAGCATATTCGGGCTGAGGCGTGGCAGCGACCCCAGCGGCATTAAAGTCAGAGAGGGGACAGGCAGGGACACTGCAGCTGTAAGACTCGCTATTCAGCAGCAACCTGTTGTTCTAGAGGAACTTCTGCCGGCAGAGAACATTGAAGTCGCATCTGAACGTGGTACTAAACCTGGTATCAAACTTGAAGCGGAGAATTTAAAGAATGAAACGCCTGCTTCACCTCAACATGAGAATAAAACTTCAGCTTCTGCTAATTCTCCCTCTTCCAAAGCTAAGGATCAGTCCCCTGGCTCCAAGTCTGGTCCAGAGAATGGCTCTAAACATGAGCCTAGTCCTCAACCTCATACGAGCCTGGGGATCAAACCTTCCGTTGGGATTACATCAGCTTCTGCACCCACTTCTCTTGTCATTCCATCTTTTGGACAAGCATCTAGGACCGAGGATAAGGTGTCAAGAAATGAAGATGCATTTGATTCTGAGCCTCTACAGACCTCTACTCCAATTGCCCCCATGCATGGATCCATTTCGGGTTTAACTCCTGTCCTTCTTACCGTTCGACCTGAACCCTGTTCTAGCACAGGTTTTACAGTTACCAAAACTCCCACGGACCCAAGCTCCAGCGCTGATCTGGAATCAGTATTGAGTGCCAGCCAAGTTTTAATAAGCTTAGGTTCATCCTCTCCATCTTCGTTCCCAATCAAGACCCCCTCTTCAGACACTTCATTAAAAACTCATATCTCACCCGTGGTCACAGCGAGCCCTAAACTAAGTTTAAGAAATACTCCACCAGAGGCAACAAAAACAACTATTTCCCCTGCCCTCACTCCCAGCCCCAAACTCCCATCAGGCCGAGCGATGACTAGCTTATCACCTGTTCCATCTTCATCCTTTGGAAAAAGTGCTAGTCCATTACAAGTCAGAACTCCCTCACCTGCCCTCACTCCCAGCCCCAAGCTCCCATCAGGCCGAGTGATGACTAACTTTTCACCTGTTCCATCTTCATCCTTTGGAAAAAGTGCTAGTCCATTACAAGGCCGAACTCCCTCACCTGCTATGATTGTTATCCCCAGACTTGACACCGTTCCAGTATCCCCACAACACCCTTCTTCTACTCCAGCCGACGGAAACCGGTCCTTCAGAAATTCACCGGGTCCAAATTCAAAGTCAGGAAGTCTGACGTCCATAACATCGTTGACCAAACAGGATATGCTTTCTATCCCATTATCTCCAAAGGAGCAAGTGCTGGAAGGAGCCAGAACCCCAACGACTGAAGAAAAGACAGAATCACAGAGGGTGGGGATTCTCAAAACGGCTAAACTCTCGCCAGTCGAGGGCGATTCTCCAGGTTCTGCCCTTTGCTCTCCACCTGATCAGCTTTCTAAAGACAGACTGAGCAGTTTGCCTCTGTCCCCTAGCACAACTCTGTCCCCCTCCTCACCTGTAGGGGGCAGAATAAGTAGTGTGACCGTTGTTAAAGCCAGCCCTGACAGCAGCCGAGAGTTTTCTGTAGAATCCTCTTCCTTAATAAAAGACCAGAAAGGAGAGAATTCTGAAATAAGGATTGAATCAGAAAGAGCAATAATTAGTCTTGCCTATGGTCAGGGGGGAAATGTCTTTGTTTCAGGTGTTGGTCAACCTGAAAGTCAAAGTAGAGAGACCCCTGTAGCAGAGGTTAGGCCAACGGTGGTCCAAGAGAAAGAAGATATGGTGGAGATGGAAGATATTAGGGACTGCAAAGTATCGCAGGAGGAAGAAGCACTATAAAGACGGAATGTAGGAATAAGACAACTGCTTAACTGACTAATGTATAATCATCAGATACTCTTCCACTGCTACATTTAAAGGATGTGTTAGCCTTTCCACCCCAAACCACATATACTTAATGTCATAACCATTTGGGTAACACTTTTTTTATGGGGTTGGATTGACACCTAAACATAAAGGAGTCCTTTTGTCGACTATGTTATTTTTTTATTCAAAGTTGCCATTGTTTGAGATGTCTTTGTTGACAACTTCACATCACCCAGGAGAACATCACCATAAACCTGTCATACCAAAATTGAACTAAGGGCTTTATGTTTTAATTAAATCACAATGCTATATGGGCTGGGTTTGATATTGGCTTTCATTGGATTGATATAAATGTATGGGCCCAGAACAGTCTCATAATACACACATGCACATGGAAAGATTCACACTTGTATTTCATGATCCGCAAAAGGATTCACACTTGTGTTTTTCAATGCACACACAAATGTGTTCCGTTTCATTATACATGTAAATAAAATCCAAACACAGAAAAAAGTTTTACATATGTATTTTTGATTCACACATATTTGTTTTCCGTTTAAAACCTCTGAACCTGCAAACACAAACCGCTTTCTGTGCACGGATCGCTGTGCATTCGTGTGTGGGTTTTTTGAGACTCCCCTGACGCTCACCCGATT